GAGAGAGAGATATATTATATATATATATATATATATATATACACACACACACACAAATTGTCCATTGGACTTCAGGACTTCATGGCGACATTATACGTCCACATTCTTAGATTTCCTATTTGTTACACTGGAAAGATTGGCTTTAGCTGCATGAGACACCATGATTTACGCTAAACAGACCATCTTGATTTATAATTCCTGTTGGGAGGTTTATCAGTTCCTACTGTAAAGAGAGCTGGAAGACTTGCACTCCTGGGTGCCAGTAGGGAAAGTGGGATTGGGAAAATCTGGTATAAAACAAAGGTGTCAACAAACTTCACTGCATCTCAATCCCTTCTTTTGGGAAATAACGAGTCACTGAGTGGATACATGCACTGCATGATTGTGTGCTTTTTTCCTTATCCTGCTGTGTGTGCCAAAAGTATTGGGGATACATAATGACACATTTTGAACAATTTAATTTTAATGCTATGCAATTTTAATCTTATCCCATTGAGTATTTAAAATGATAGTGCACCCAAATGGGATTTTTCAGTAATAGGTGGAGCCTAGAAGAATGAACAATATCTTGGCTGCTTATATAGCTGGAGGACACCAGTGGCAAGATCTTTTCACAATGCTAGCTGGCTCTCTTTCTACCCCCTACTGAATGGTCGCATTCCCTCTCAGGTTGTGTGCTTTCTTCCAGTTAATTCTTAATAATATAAAATAAATGAAAAACAATCACCAGGAAGAGCAGGTTCCCCTTGTAATGGCAAAGATCTTACCGCTGTCCCAGATAGATAGAAAACATGGTAACATAGTTATTTACCTTAAAACTTAAATACTTGGGTGGACTGGCACTTTTAAAATGGATCTGAACACTAAAAGTTCACATTTACTAAGTTATAGGAAATTTCTAGAAATGTTAGTTGTGCCTAAGCAGAACCCTGAAAGATTGTTTCATTGTCTTGAATTCCTCCTAATTCATAGCAGTATTCTTTGTACACCTTGAGTTTCTGCTATCTCTGACTTCTAGTTTCATGAGAAACTAGCGTTCAGGTCAACTTTCAAGTGAACCTGAATGCAAAAAGTGCAGATTTACCATGTTACAGGGAACTTCTAGAAATGTTAATTGTGCCTTAGCACTACCCTGAAAAATTGTACGTTTGCTTTAAATTTCTCCTAAAAAATAGCAGTGTACTTTGTGCACCTTGAGCCTCTGCTACCTTTGACTGTTAGATTTGGTGACGTCACTACTGTGCTACTCGCTGTTCTCCTTGCTGGAGAGAAAGCTTTTCCTGAGGATCCGCAGTGCAAGGATCTCCCTGATTTTGCTTTATCCATTCTATAAATATGTGCTTTTTCTTGCTGCTTGAATACTCTTCCACCAGTCATCAGATTACAAGTCATTAGGGAGCAACTCTGACAAGAGAAAGCAAAGCCCTGTCTCTAGAAAGATGGCCGTCTCCACACAGAGACACCGTGTGAATCACAGCATAGCAGGACAGCAATGGGGAAAGAATCAGTTGCAGGCAACTTATACTGTTTTTTGAGCACAGCTTCCACAATTCCAGTCATCTTTAACCTCTTGTCTGAATTCCGTGTTGCAGATGAGGAAATTACCAGCAAGAAGTTAAATATTTTTGCAGAATGAGAATAAAATTGTCTATGTAGTCATGCAATGTTTACCTATAAACTCCACCTTTAGCATTTGTTATGCTATAAGGTCAGAAAAACGTCTGAGTGACTTTCTGTTGCCCCATACTATCTGAGTCCCCCTGGCACCATGATATTTCTGTAATTTCTTTCTTGAAAACTTTCAAGCCGCTACAACCTCTAAACTCTTTTGTACTGCCTGCGTATGACTTCCGTGAATGTTTTTTAATTTAATAAATTCTAGCTAACATTTTTACTGTTTTTCTTCTCCTCTTGCATTATGGTTAGTTTGATATTAAGCAGAGATGTGTCTTGTTTAGTACGGAAATGAACGTCTTAAATGTGCAGTCTTACATAAGTAACTGCCTCTTAAGATACACCTGCAGACCATATAAAAGAGCATTTTAAATGAAGCAACGAGGGCTTTACTTTTTAATTTATTGAACTACAACTGCCAACACATGCAAAGCTTAGTGCCATAAAAATAAAATGTGTCAAAAATCCGACATAGCTCTGCGTTGCATTCCAATTTCGGCATAACCTGGACTTAACAGTGCTTTTTATTCTGCGGTTTGAAAAGATAAATGTACTTCGAGCTGTAGAAGAGAATATTACTGAAGAAACAATTCTGTTCATCTTTAGTAGTTTCCTTAAGTACACTTCTCCTGTGCCAATTTGCATATTTTTTAAATAATGAACTAAGTACAGACAATCCGACCAGAAATTTAAAGCGTACAGAAAGTACTGCAAAAGTGAAATGTCCTTTGGAAATATCTGCACAACATACTGGGAGCCGGTGGGTTGCTAATTTCATGCATTTATGTCAGCAGTGAAATTGTTTAGTAATTCAGTTTACTTCTAATATTTTATATTGCAGGGGAAATCTCAAGATGGCAAATTACATGCTTTGCATGCCTTCAGAAAAGAACTGAATGTTGATGAGTCCAGAGGAAGACTTGAAAAAGACAAGCATATTACTGGCCAGACAATCTCAGCTGGATTTACTTCCTTTGAGTGGAAGGGAGAAGTTGGTGAAGAGGTAAGTGTCTCTCTAAATTGGTAAAGAGGAATCAAACCAATTATACTTATTGTTCAGGCGGTAGAAAGAGTAAATACTCCAAGTAAGGGAAAGTGTATATAAGGTTAAAACCTGTCAAATATTGGCTTTCATTCTGGGCAGAAGGAAGATGAAACACTGAATCTGATTGGTTGCTGCTGGACATCACTTTTCACATTTGCTACATTAGTTCCATGGTGTGTTGTACAGGACAATGACTGTACAAATTGTAAGGGATAACTAAACTTTAAATATTGGATTATTGTTACATATGTTACATTAGTGACTAACAGCCCCGAAAAGGAAAAGTGGCAATTTGGGGTTCCTTCTGTAATACTACAGACAGCGTAGACCTCATCCTATAGCTTTAAAACACAGAAGCTTGTCATTCACATGACAGATGACAGAGTCCACTGTCAATCAGCCAGCTGGGTGGAACTCGACAGTATTGTCGGGATCCGTCCCAGCTGCGGCGTTCTCAGTATATAACGGGCAATAGCCCGCTACATACTGAGCTTTGGGTCACGGGAGGACATTAGTATATGGTTTCTGTTTGGCACTTCCCAGACACCTTGTGTACTTGTGTGTCATCCATAAAATGCTTCACAGTTCAGGGCCATGACACACCAGCAGGTGTAGTCCTGATCCCTAAAGATGCTCTAGGAAGTATGCCTACATAAGAGGCAAATAATGCCAGCAATATCATTTATGCTCGTTGGGTTCTGCATATGGCACTCTCCAGTACTTAGTTATTATACTTGTTTGCTGCAGACTTGGTAAGTTTGTGGTTTTAACTCTCAATGTGTTGGGAACGTTACTCCCGCTATCCCCAAAAGGGTTAATGCGCTGGGTAATTACATGCTGCCCCACTAACTACGTCCTTTCCAGCGTGAGGTAGTTTCCACAACCGCTATCCTCTGCAGGGGTCACATGTTTGCCTCGATTTGTCATTGCTGCTGCCCCCTTTATTATACTACAGTATGTCAGATACCGCAGTCCTCAAGCAGCTTAGGAGTGGTCTGTAACATTCCGCCCAGAGGACTTGGATCATTGCCCCCTCCAATCCAATTACTCTTTGGAGTTTTCTACAGCTATGCTGACTTAGAATGCAGGGACCCTGAGTGGATTTCTACACTCTCTCCTCTGGGATCTATCTCTGATAATACTGCAATTGTATTCAGCTGCAGATGATGTTGAGTCTCATTATTCATTGCCAAACCCTGGTAGTGTGGTCTAAGGTACTTAAAGACCCTGAAACCATCTTTACTGACCATTCAGCTATGGACCTGTTTCAGTTTATGGCTACTACATTACACTACTGTGTTGAAGCTTTGCTAGACATGGTTCAACTAATTTCCAGAATGAGTCTCGTGTCTCTCTGGCTTAAACACTGTTGTTCAGAACAACAATGCTAATCTACTCCTACTGATCCTGTGTCCATTGATTAACGCCAAGAAAAGGATTCTACTGAGTACAAGATTCCTGTTTCCCCCATCTCTGTTTATTGTGTACACATATTTACAATGTAGTGCTAATGTGTACAAAAAAAATCTCAAGCTCAGTTTCAAACTTCTCCAGGGTTTTAGCTCAGAGGCGAGAAATGTGTCTTTTCCGGACAACTCTGGGTCATTACTGCATGGAAGCTTTAATGAAGAGGAATCTGCAAAATATTTTAATGAAGCTTTATTGGAATGGAGAAATCAAACTCTATCCAAACCACAACCTCTCAGTACCACTGAAACTGGCACAGGTAAGCCTCATTTACAAAGAGGAATATTGGTGGTATATTCATGTAGGTATAAAAATCTGCTTTCCATCCATTTCTGTGTTTTAATTTGTTAAAAAGTATTTTTTTTCTGTTGATGAGGTAAAAATATATTAAGGATATTCTTATCTTCACTTTGCCCACTTTGTCAAATGTTTAAAAATAAATGATACATTTTATATTTAATTTCATTTTATTTTTTGTACGTTTTAACGGAGGCATCTGTTGTCCCTGCTGCACCCGCCCTGCTATATTGGGCATTCTCCGGTCAGGAGTGCGATGGGATACATGGATTTCTGCATGTATATGGTACAGGCACCTAGAAGTGAACTTTTGATACCCTGCCATTACTGCTGAATTCTGGGCCATTCTAATAAGCAAAGCTCCAACACGTGCAGATAATATTGAAGCTTGCCGCTACCTCCTACCCCCCATATATTCCCTATCGGCTCATCACCATAGGAAAAGAAAGGAGGCTTAAAGGAGAAGGCTAACCTCTTCCACATGAGCAAGTCTGGAAGCTTTGCCTGTCAGAATGGCCGGGTATTAGGTCACAACAGAACGTATTTGGAGGCTGCACCACCACCTGCATCTAAATATATTGCTTTTACTATGTAAAATGATAAGGGTATTCAAATGCACAATGCTTTTCAGTGTGTAAGATTTGTGGTATGACACTTGTCTGTCAAATGCTCTGAGCTTTTGTTTTTTTTTGTAGTTTACTGGGAGGCAGATTTTCTTATGTAGTTGTAAGGCCTAAACACAGGGGTAGAGACTGTTTGCTTAGTAAAGTTAATAACACTTCTTAAAACTCAATCTTTCAAAAACTGAGCTCATGATATTTCCTCCCCCTCCCCTCATGACAAGGTGCTTGGTGTCATCCTTGACTCGGACCTCACCTTTCTTCCCCACATGCAATCGCTATCCAAATCATGTCGCCTTCACCTTCGTAACATCTCCACAATATGCCCCTTCCTCACCAATGAAACCGTCAGGAGTGCGATGGGATACATGGATTTCTGCATGTATATGGTACAGGCACCTAGAAGTGAACTTTTGATACCCTGCCATTACTGCTGAATTCTGGGCCATTCTAATAAGCAAAGCTCCAACACGTGCAGATAATATTGAAGCTTGCCGCTACCTCCTACCCCCCATATATTCCCTATCGGCTCATCACCATAGGAAAAGAAAGGAGGCTTAAAGGAGAAGGCTAACCTCTTCCACATGAGCAAGTCTGGAAGCTTTGCCTGTCAGAATGGCCGGGTATTAGGTCACAACAGAACGTATTTGGAGGCTGCACCACCACCTGCATCTAAATATATTGCTTTTACTATGTAAAATGATAAGGGTATTCAAATGCACAATGCTTTTCAGTGTGTAAGATTTGTGGTATGACACTTGTCTGTCAAATGCTCTGAGCTTTTGTTTTTTTTTGTAGTTTACTGGGAGGCAGATTTTCTTATGTAGTTGTAAGGCCTAAACACAGGGGTAGAGACTGTTTGCTTAGTAAAGTTAATAACACTTCTTAAAACTCAATCTTTCAAAAACTGAGCTCATGATATTTCCTCCCCCTCCCCTCATGACAAGGTGCTTGGTGTCATCCTTGACTCGGACCTCACCTTTCTTCCCCACATGCAATCGCTATCCAAATCATGTCGCCTTCACCTTCGTAACATCTCCACAATATGCCCCTTCCTCACCAATGAAACCGCAAAACTACTCATCCACTCCCTTGTTATCTCTCATCTTGACTATTGCAACTTCTCATTGGCCTAACACTACACAGGCTATCCCCCCTTCAGTCTATCATGAATGCTGCTGCTAGACTCATTCACCTAACCAACCACTCAGTGTCTGCAACCCCCCTCTGCCAATCCCTGCACTGGCTTCCAATAGCCCAAAGGATCAAATTAAAAATATTAATAATCACTTATAAAGCCATCCACAACTCTGCCCGCAGATATATCTCAAACCTTGTCTCAAAATATCACCCTAACCATCCCGTCAGCTCCTCCCAAGACCTCCTGCTTTCCAGCTCCCTTGTCAACTCCTCCCATGCTCGCCTCCAGGACTTCTCTAGAGTCTCTCCCATCCTCTGGAACTCTTTACCCCAACCTGTCCGACTATCTCCCACTCTGACTGCCTTTAGGCGATCCCTTAAGACTCCTCTCTTCAGGGAAGCCTATCCCACCTCAACCTAACCACTCAACCATCACATTCTCAAACAATTCATCCCCACACGGCTACCTCCTCATGTATCACTGACCCCTCCCTTTTAGATTATAAGCCCTCACGGGCATGGCCCTCCTTACCGTCTTGAATTGTACTGTAATTGTAATGTATTCCTTAAATTGTAAAGTGCTGAGCAAACTTTTGGTGCTATATTAATCCTGAATAATAATAAGAATAATATATTCACTGAGCTTAGGAAATAGGTTTAAGCTATTTTTGCTCTGCATACCCAGTCACTTGCAAGGGAAATAAAGCATTTCCTTTTTTTTCTGTTACATGTGTTTGGGTGATTGCAGTGAATACAGCTTCACCCTAATTACTAAGGCCAATAAACATTCACATTGATTAGTATACACGCTCTACTCTTTTAGCAAATTAACCCCATAATGTTCTCTGACTATGCTGAACTTCTGGGAAGCATCTGCAGATAATAGGCGGACAACAGATTTTGGCTTTGCAAATCTGGTTCAAAAGGGTTAATAGATTGTCTGCCAGTTCTACCTACAATCCTTCAATGCTTTTATTTTTTAAGAAATCTGTCAAAAATTGCTGAGACAGCTTTAAACCTCTGACTCCTGGGCCATGAATTAGTACTAGTATGGGCACACTACTTGCTGTGAAAGTGAACACACTCAGCTTTACATCTCCAGAACTAGCTTGTGAACCATCATAAAGGATTGACCACTCCTGTTTTAAGGTGCCCATACACCTTACGATTATCGTACGATAATCGTATGCGATCGACTTTTCTTACGACAAACGTAACATGGGAATAAAGTGCCCGACCGATAGTACTGTACAATCGTATGACTTTTGACGGTCAAGCATGTTTGAAAACTTTGGTCGATCGTACGATGTTCGCATGGTTGGTGGCGTTTCCGTCCGTCAAAAGTCGTACGATTAACACTGTGCATCCGCAAACTAAAATAATTGCTTTCAATTACCGCAAGTCGTCCAGGTGTTTTTTTTTAACTACCGCTGATTGAACCTTTCGATAATCGGGGCAGGATGGGGCCGTCGTACGAAAATCATACGACGATTAGATCATCGGACGGAAAGTTTCGTCCGATAATCGTAAGGTGTATGGGCACCTTTAGACTTGAGGCTGCTTTAGATGTTGGCAAACCTATCAGAATCTCTTAAAATAAGCATAGAGTTATAGTAACACGAGAGCACAGTTGGACTACAGGTTTGTTGTCTTGCCTGACTGGTTATGTAATGCTATTAATATAGTTCTATTGGAATTTGGGATGAAATAGGGGATTTTGGTGGAAACTGGAAAACTAATATAAAAGATGATTTCCGCCAGCTTGGATAACTCATACTGAGTATTGGACTGAATTTGCCATTTTAATTAGCATTATGATATCTCAATATCTCTTATATCTTGTGTAGCCTATGCTGAGTGTGACAGAAACATATCTCTCCCTCACTATTACTAACATACAAGGTTTTCAGTATATTGTTCTCCTGAACCTTCTGTACATATAAAAGCTGTCTGTGACTGTTATATCAAAATGTGAATCATCATTATCCCTAATAGGGGCACAGTGTGCCTGCTCTTTAAATTGGACCAAGTAAGCATAATGCTGGTGCATTAATGTGAAGGAGTGGTATAGAGAAGCTAACCAGGAAACTGCATTACAGCAGAATAATTCAACTCATACACTGAATAAGAAAATGTATTTTAGCTTTAGGTACATTTAGCCTATTATGATCACAAGTAACTTGAAAATGTAATAGAACATGATAGCCTATACGTATATATTTTTTATATCTAAGAATGCCAGTAAGCTCTATATTCATATAAAATAGCCACCTTACATATTTTCTATTACAATGTGAAAAAAAACTAGAACCCTTGCAGAAAACATTTTCCTTGAATAGTGTTCTCATGCCTCACTATGCCATATGCAGAAAAAGAAAACAGTGTTCTTTTTTATCACTACTTTTCTTCCTTGGCGTGTCAAGACAGAAATAAAAAGCTGAGCTGATATGATGCACCTTTCCCCGCTCTTATCTTGCATGAACTATACTGTCAGTCAACATGATCCAGTGGAATGGATGATCTTTTTTACATAGCTGTAAGGGTGCCAGGACCTAGAAAGCTGCTAATATGCATCTTAGCTGCTTTTCTATGGCACGTTTAAAAGGTGGCAGGCAACTGGTTATATTATAGATGTGTTTATGTGAGATATAGAGATTATTTATTAACAACTATTGTCATACTTTCTTAACTTGCTAATAGTCACCGTAGTTCAGACTACCTGGTGAAAACCCCTCCAGATGGTCCTTTTTTGTTCCTCATTCTTATGTAGTGCGAAACCCATTTAAAAGATGCATGCCACTTTCTTTAAATCAGTCTCAAGAGACATGACTTCTTATCGTTCAGCCCACTGAGAAAATGCAAACGCATCTTTACTCTGTTTAATCCATATACCATGCAACATCTAACATTTCTTTGCAATTCAGATGCTTCTTCATCATCAAAGGTTTCCACATTAGCATTTTGCATTTATTTTCTCACTAATCACATATTTTGCATCTGAACACTCACTTGCCAGCAAACAAACTCTGTTGATGCTTTATGCTTTAACTGTATTGGAATGTTAAAGCTCCAAAGTGATCACGTTCTCAAACAATTCATCCCCTCACAGCTCCCTCCTCATGTATCACTTGCCCATCCCTTTTAGAGTGTAAGCCCTCACGGGCAGGGCCCTCCTTACCATCTTGTCTTGATTTGTATTGTG